AGATTTATAGCAATTAAATGGTTCAAATGTCTAATATACATCACATCAATCATGGGTGTTTGCATAGTGGCAATTGATTTATACGTATCGTTTAGCATAATTAAAGCTGTGCTAAATATCCTGGCCATTTGTTTACTAATAGTTACTGCAGCAGATTGTTATAGCATTATTTGTATGGGATTTCTCGCAATGTATTTATCAAATAATTATCTATGGCGTAAATTTAACGAGATAAAACAAAAATTTATAGTTAGCTTGAAATATAATAACCGGACGTTATTGATGGGAACTATTCGTGAGCATAACTACTGGGAACGACAAACGCGGGATATAAACCATACCTTAAGGTTAATAATATTTGTATTGTATTTTCTTACTTCATGTAGTTTTGAGATATGCTTATATTTAACCCACAAAACGGATACACTATTATTGGGGAGAATTGTTTCCAGTATTTGTGCTATTTGTACTATAATTTATTTAGGATTATTCACTAAAATGATTGTTTCCATACCAACCGTTGCCCACAAACCGTCAACACAATTGCTGTCGTATTTATGCCGCGACTGGTCTGACCCGCGGACCGCTCTGTCGGTTAGGGATCGGCTAAAAGTGCAGAGATTTGCGGAGCGTTTGTCAATCGGACCCACAATTGGTTTCTATTGTTTTGATTTGTTTCCCATTATTCCGGAAGAAGTTTTTCAATTTTTATATATCGCCGGAAGTAATTATTTATTATTAATTTCGACGTTTTAATTATTATAGAAAAGAGATTGTAGTATGGTTTTTAAAACTCTTTTTATTTAATTTTATAATTACTTTAATATTAAATATTGTTAAATTATAAAATAGCTAAAATAGTATAGACTAGAACTTAAATTAAAATTACTAAAACAATTACTTGCAAGATTAAATGCTAACATAATTGGTAGCCTTGTTTCAGGTGTTGTTTATTTTTGTGTATATTTAATTTTAACAGAATAAAAAGTGTCCACAATTGGTTTCTATTGTTTCAATTTATTTCCCATAATTTTTTAAGTTTATCATAATAATGAAAAGTATAGATTTTAGTAAATGGCACTAGCAATTATTTGCTATTAATGTCATTTTGTACATTATTATATTTAATATAGTGATAGAAAAACAAATTATTATTAACATTTGACAACGTTCTGTTTATTAATTTCCAATTAAACTAACATAAACTGTAGTTTTAATTTTAAACAACACTAATATTATGATAGAATATATAGTTAATTTAACAGCATTGGTATGTGTAATGTTGACTATACATTTTCATTAATCGAATTTAATTAAAATATTAATATTTATAAATGTATGTACTGTATAATTATTTAACACAACTATTTAACATTGTATCTTAGATAAATTAGATGTCTTAAGTGATAATAAACTTATGTTAAAAGAATTTTATTCGTGTAAATTGAAAAAAAAATAATTAAATTATGATAACCACCATAATACATAACTGTAATTTAAATTAAAAATAGTCATTTAACTTGTTAACGTTAATATTTGTAAATACCTGCGGAGGGCATACAAATCACTCTATATATTTTGTTTAAAGGAATTTATTCTCACTTATAAAATACACCTTAATAAAATCAAAAGCTACAACAAATATAGCTAATTTAAATTTTTAGCATATTCACTCTAATATTCTAAAAATTAAAATAAATAAAATATTAAAGCTGTGCATGCCTTTTCCAAATAAAATATTCTCTTAACAAGAATATAACTTTATTCAATAATTTAAATTAACTTATAGTTAATACAAATTTTAAATACAATTGGTATACATGTGTTTATAATTTTATTATTACATTATATAGTCATATAAAATGAAATCTATTAAAAATATTACAATAAATGAATACATTTATCGTTAATACAAAATTAAACAATGGTTTACAATAAATTAAATAATTTATAATCAATTTTAATCAATAAATATATTAACCGACATAGCAGCAAAGCATGTGCAATTACTGTAAAATAATACAATATATTTAATACTCAAACACAATTGTATAAGTTATTTACCATATTTGCATTAAAACAATATAACCACAATAAATAAATTAAATAAAAACAAAACAAATTGATACAAATTTATCAATACTTTTGTATCAAATTATGATTATTCACTAAAACGTTAACGTTGTGTTTACAATAGTTAATCAAGGTAGATAATTGGATTTGGATATTTTGAAACAATGAAATCTGTACTAGTTGCATTTTCAGTATACATATTACTATCAATAGAAATTATCGATGCAATGATACGAATAAAACTCCATAAACTCAATACAATCCGCAGTCAATCACGGGGTAAAAGTTTAGATATTATGAGCACTGGTGATGATACAGATGACAGGGCCACGGGAAATGTCCTACCGGTGCCTCTCGGCAACTTTATTAACCAAGAATATAGTGGCTATATATCGCTGGGAACTCCACCGCAACCATTCAGCGTATGTTAATTTAAACAATCATAATTTAAACTAATTAATTCTACCATATACAAACAAACAGATAACATTTCAGACGGGAACCTCCAGCCTATGGGTGCCGTCTGTCCGGTGCCAGTCGTGCGCCTGTAAAGTGCACAGCAACTATAATTCATCAAGATCATCGACCTATGTTAAAAACGGTACCGCGTTTTCAATCCAATACATGTACGGCAGTGCCAGCGGTTATCTCAGCACCGATACCCTTATCATAGGTGGAGTCAAAGTAGTCAATCAGACGTTCGCAGAGGCCCTGTCTGTGCCGGGAATACAGTTTGTTTACGGCGCGAGTGGTATACTAGGGCTGGGATTCCCGCAGTCGGCGGTGGACGGCGTGACCCCAATGTTCAACAATATGATAGCACAGG